GCCGCCGCAGGAGAGGCGGCGTTGAAGACAGGCGCGAAAATCCAGCGCGCGCACCGTTCCCTACGCCGGGCAACCTTCGGGCGGTAGCTGGCCAGCGGGAGCCCCCGCCCCCCCCTCCCCCCCCAAAAAATGCTTGCGATGGGGCAAGGGCGCCCGTCCGTTTCTCTAGCCCAGGTCGCGCGGGGCCCCCATGGCCGCGAGGCAAATCGCAGGCAGGTCGGCGCCTTCGATTCGAGCCCAGGCGCAGAGATGCCGCGGTACGCCCGAAACCCTGCGCGCGGCCCTAGAAAGAAGATGCCGCGCGACTCCTCTCGGACAGAGCTGTCGCGCCCCTGATTCCAACAACGCCATGCCGCCAGATTGACCTGGAAGCCGCGCGCCCGCATTCCCGCGCCGCAAGGATGAGCGCCGCGCGGATATCCTCGCGGGGCGCGGACGGGGCGGAATTCGGCCAAGAATTGCGCTAGCAAGTTCCAGAAACGCACGTCGGGCACCCCACCAGCCTGCAGGTCTTTCTTCGCCGTCCAGTTGTTCATGACCGCGCTGGCCAAACGGCGCTCATCGACCCCCTGGCCATCAGAGCCGTCTCCCCCGCAATCGCGGGTTTTCCAAAACCACATCTTTGCAGATACCAGCATGGCCCTGCTCACCGCGGTCTTTGTGACCTCGGTCTGACGCGCGTGCTCCTTCGCGCGCGCGCATACTCCACCGCGCGCCCCATGGGGCACATGCAGCCGCATCCCCGACGCAAGCGACCCCCTGGCGCAGAGCAAAAATACTGCCGCCGCTCTGCGCGCCTCGCACTCCTATGAAATGCCTGCGGGCCGCCCCGAGCCCCTGTCTCGCCCCGCGTGCTCCTGCAGGTCCTCTGAGGCTTCCTGGGTGATAATGAACGGGCAGGAAGAACTCTGCAGGTCGCGCTTCATGTGCGCATTCAATTCTGGATCGCTCCATTCCCCACCCCAGTTGGCAGTCAAGACGCCGAAGGCGCCCCCGTGGCCACTGCCTCTGCCGCCCTTCCCCGTCGCCCCCCCCCCCCCCCCCCAACCACCGCGGGATCCAACCGCCCAAGCACAAGCAGAGCACCCCGTGCCATCATCCCAACAGAACCCCATGCCAGGGCCGCACGCGAACCTCCATGATCATGACCGCTGTTTCCCCGCATTCGACGCTGGTTTCTCTCTCAGCGGGGCTAACAGCCCTGACCCGCGACGCCTCGGTGCGCGCGGCTTTCGGGTGGATGGCTGCGCCTGGCCCCCCCATGACCATGGGCGTCTCCTTCTTGAACCGCCATCAATGCCCTCATAGGGATGTCGTTCGCGGCGAAAGCCTTGATCGCGCTTCTCTGTTTGACCATCGCAATGGGGATGTCGCACGCGATGCGTTCATGGTTCGTTGCCACGGCCAGCCATCGCACGCGCTCAGCCACCTGGGCGTCGCCCACCGCGCAGGCCGCATCCGCCCAAACGCGCCGCGGGAAGGTCTGGCTGGCTGTCTTGTCTTTCCCTCTGGCAGCCACTCTCACGCTGGGTCGGCGGCGCCCCGTCTGCGCCATGGAAGATTACCTCGGAGCGTTTCTGGTCTCTACCCCGGCGTTCCAGAACCTCCCGACCATCTCCATGAGGTCGGTTTCCGCGAGAAGGGCGTCTCTTCCTTCTCTAACCCCTACCTTGGCCGCCATGAATGAACCGAAATCCTCCGCGGGAGCGGCCCCCTGCTCGTCGACGGACTTGCCGTCGGCAGGATGCTCGGGGGCCGCGAAAATCGGCCGGCCCCGCTCGGGGAGCGGAGGCGCCTGAAATGGCCTGCGAAAGAAAAGAGAGGGGCAAAAAAAAGGAGCAGGAAAGGCGAGCGAAGACAGAGGAGGGCGAACAGGAGGAAGGCGAGGGGAGAGGAGGACATTGCCGAGCAGGGGGGGCGGGGAGCAGAGCAGGGGGCCGCTGCCGAGCAGGGGGGCACCGCCGAGAAGGGGGAATACGACCAAGGATAATTCATGCCTTATCCTCCCCCCGCGCCGCGTTACCCACTCACTGCAGTTTTCGTTGGCGCGCCTGGGGGCCACGCGGTGAATTGCGCGACTCTGCGGCTTTTTGCCATGTTCTCGACCTCCACCTCGGCTACCCACTTGGTCTTCAACTTCCCGGAACTCGGCCCCTCCAATACCGAGGGTGCTACGCTTCCTGCCTGCAGCATTGCGCTCTCGACTTGCACTAAGAAATCACACATCTGGCGCGCCGACTCCGCGTTCAAAATGCGTGCGCTGCTGGAGGGATCTGACACCGCACTTTGGTTGTTGGCTGCTTCCAAGCCCACTTCGCACAGGAGTTTTTCTTATTTCTGGGAACTCCAGAGGGCAGAGAGCAATCGCGGCAGAGGCCCCCCAGAGCATTGCGCATATCTCCAGGTCACGAACACACTTGCGAACGCGAACGAGCCGCTCATATGAACGCCGCCCTCCCCGCCTGTACCGCATGCCAACTTGAAACATACAAGGAACCAGGATAGTCGACCTCCGGCCCGTGCGAAACGATGAGCTCGTCCCCCACTGGCTCGAACGGCACGCACCCAGATGGACCTGGCTTGCACAAGCCCATTAGGGTAGACACGATCTCAACCTGGCCCGTTTTGCACAACAGTTCCGTTCCTTTGTGTTGAATGCTACGCTGATGATTGGAACAGCCGCGGCCTCCTCCTCGTCTACTTTCCACGACAGAACCTCCCGCTCCAGGCCGCTTTCGCACTGCCGCGCCCAATCAGCATCACGAGCCCGCAATTTCTCCAAGGCGTGGCTTCCATCATCGCCCATGATTGGGGTAATCTTGCAATCTCATTAGGCGCCTCGGCCCCGCCACCGCGGGTTACTGATCACTCGCGTCCTTTTTTGTCGCCCAAGATGTTGCGGCAACAACAAGTCACATGGCGGCGCGACAAACTGCCATAACACGCTGGCGCACCGGGGTTGCTACTCCGTGCAATTTTGGTATATAGCTCGAGCGCGTCCTCGAAAAACTCTCGGAATGTTTGCCCCCCCCCCCAGCCACCGCTGGTTTTACTTCCGCGAGCACACCGTTCACCATTTGTGTTTGCTTATATGGGGCCGTACCCATTCTTCATGACGTCACCAATGAGTTGCTGCGTGCGCAATGGCACTACCTTCGTCGACTCAACTCTTCATCGAGCTCGGAAAGCGATGTTTTGGAGTTGATGACTTGCGTTGCTCTGTCGTCAGCCATGGAGGCTAACCACTGCGAGCCATGTTGATTAATTACCACAGGTTCCCCCTAACCCGCCACCAACTCAGCGAACGCCGCTACCACAGAGATACGACCTCCTGCCTTGCCCTGAACTCACGGATGATGTGAATTAACGAATGATGATTGCGACGACGGTTCCGGACCCGATCACGTTTCGAATGTTTTTCCCACCCCTGGCAATGATTTCACAACTGCTCCATTTCTTTGAAGAGAGGTGGCGGGGAGGAGAGGGTAATTATGACAAGGGGAAACATGAGGACGACGAGAACGAGCAATTAATCACCAGGGAGGGTGGTTTGTGGCTCTTCAGCGATCCAGCGCTGTGGCGCCCCAGTGCTCCAAGCTCTGGCGCTCCAGCGCTGCAGCGTTCCAGCGCTCTCGCGCTCCAGCGTTCCATCCTCAGCCCTAGAATTCCTCTGGAAGGCTTTCTGTGCAAGAATTTGAAGAGGTGGCGTGGGCCCGACCTCCTCGTCGTCGTCCTCGTCCTCCTCCTCCTCCTCCTCCTCCTCCTCCTCCCCCTCCCCCTCCTCCCCCTCCTCCTCCTCCTTCCCTCCTCCTCCTCCTCCCTCTCCTCCTCCTCCTCCTCTCTCCTCCTCCTCCTCCTCCTCCTCCTCCTCCTCCTCCTCCTCCTCCTCCCTCCTCCTCCTCCTCCTCCCTCCTCCTCCTCCTCCTCCTCCTCCTCCTCCTCCTCCTCCCTCCTCCTCCTCCTCCTCCTCCTCCTCCTCCTCCTCCTCCTCCTCCTCCTCCTCCTCCTCCTCCGTCCCCCGCCCTCCCCCTCCTCCTCTAAGTCTTCGCGCTCGGCAGTCGCGAGGTGCATCCGGAGACCAGGGGAAACCACGGGAGACCGTGTCGGCGACCGATCTCGGATCGCCAGATAATTGATAATTAGAACCCGGAGACGACACAGGGGACCACGGGAGATTCGGGAGACGAACCCTGGAGACCACGGAGACCACGTCGGCAACCTATCTGGAATGGCGCGATGCACTCTGGAGGGTGGAGGGCTTGGCACCTCCGGGTCGGGTGAGTTCCGAATGTGCCCGCGGCACCCCTGGCGGGTTGTGGTCGAGGATCCCACCGCCCCAGAACGACAACCACGGGCATGCCCATGGTTGTCGTTTCGGGCGTTCGGTGGAAGGTTTAAAAGACAGTTTCACTCATTTCGCGAAATTCGATTACCATGTCTGGACTCCTTTCAGGTGCCAGTCCGATGCTGCACGGTGCACAGTGCGTCGGCTCAGAAGGGGCCGAAAAACTATGCGCCGTACCGTTCCTGGGTCGAATATCCACGACGCCTCGTGAGGCGCCAACGCAGCACGGTGCACAGAAGTTGTCCGCCGTTATGTGAGCGTGCTTGTTCGGCGACTCGGAATGCGTTCGATGTTTTCGAGCCTTCTGACAGCTCCTCGGCGGCCTGGGCGGTGTGGAACGCAAGTCATAGCTTCCCACTTGTATCATCCTGCGGAATGACGGACAGGGGTCTCGAGTGAAGCGGGTCCTCGACCCAAGACCTTGCCCCGGGACAGCCTGTTCGTCCTGGGTCCTTCTTGTGACCGGCATGGGGGCCCCTGAAGGGCACCTTGAGCCCGACGATGCGGACAAGCTGGACGGCATTCCCTCAGGGCCCCCCTGCCCTTTACGGCGAGTTCAAGCACCACGCATAAGCGATCACACCAGTGGTAGGACCAGCGTCCATCAAATCGATTGGGTGGGTCCAACGTGTCGCTGTCGGCGGCGGCAAGGCTCCTTCCAGATGGCGTAGGCATCCGACTCGACCTGGGCCCTGAGGGACTCGTCGAGCACAATCTCGGAAGGTTCGACGACCTCCCACTCGCCACTCATTCCCTTCTGGGTCTGTCCCGCCCTCCGTCACCCTCCTGCACTCCCCCCCCTGGAGGCAAACAAAAAAAGCGTCCGATGACCTCGGTTTTCGAGCCTCGATCACCCTCCCCCCACAACGTCCTCCTCAACGTGTTCCGCGTCCTCAACCTCCCCTCCTCCGCCTGTGTCTCGTCCTCCTATCTCCATCCACCTTCTCCCCCATGTATCATCCAGGTGCCTCTGCTCCTACTCCTGATCCGTGTCCTGCCCCACTGGTTCACCTGCTGCCTGCCTGCCCACGAGCATCCCAAAACGTATACCTTGCTGTGTCTACAAACCTTTCCCGCATCCTTGGTTACATCGTCGCTCATCGCTACGTCAGTGCATCCCTCGATTGCCCCCCTTTCGTTCCCTCGTCTTTCTTTCTTTCTTTCTTTAGTTCTCTCTCTCTCTCTCTCCCTTTCAATGTTCTCTCTCTCCCTCTCCCTCTCTCTCTCTCTCTCTCTCCCTCTCCCTCTCCCTCTCTCTATCTCTCGTCTTCTGTACATGTACTGGCATACCATCTAGCTCCTTTCGCGCCTCAATCTTCCTGAATGCCCTGGCCTCCCCTCTCCCCTCCGCCTGGCCCACCCCCCCGTCCACACTCCCCCCGCTCCACCTCCGCCTGCCCACACCCGCCCCAGACCCATGCAAATACCGTAACGCATCTCATCCCAGCCAGAGCCAACGCATGACTCATCCCCGGCGATCTCCTCCCCATCGCCTGTTCCTCTCGCTTATCTCTCGGGCACCGCGAGCAGTGAGATGCCCGGGAGGTAATGTCAAGCAGAGCATCACCACGGCAAAACGATGGACGATAAGGCGAGGCCGGGAATTGTGCACATTCACGCCGGGAATGCGGCGGATACAGACATAAACCCACCGCCACCTGTGGTCCGGGTAGGTCCTCCAGGCGGTGGAAGTGCACAAATCCCAGCCAGCCTCGGAGGTGAACGCGTGCGGCTCTCGGGTCGGAGGAGAGGGGGGGGGGGAGGCGGGACAGCAACAGGTGAGGGCAGCGAATCGGCTCACATAACTGGCTTTCCTGGCCAGATCCGTCTCCACAGGCTCGCGGGCCGGGCCCCTGGGCCGCGACCCCGCGGACGGAGGGCAACTCTTGCTGGCGGATGCCCCGCGCGGGACGCATCCGTGCGACCGCGTGCGTGTCCATGGGATCGCGCCCAAGAATCCAAACCGCGAGGGCGCCGATGCGGACACGTTCGCCGCTCGCGAGCCTGCCCTCACGCCCTCGCGCCCTCGCGCCCTCGCGCCGACCCCGTGGAGAAGGGCAGCCACGCTCTGGCTGGCCCGCAGAGCGTTCGCGGAGGCCTCCCAGACAGGGTCGGCGCACATGAGGATCTCGCCGCGTCGGCGACGCATCGGCGATGCAATGCGGCTGCTTTTCAAAATTACACCAGCAATCATTGCAGGGTTTGAAAATTCGTGATATGGATGTTGATGTTGAGATCGATAGGAAGGTCGATCGTGAGACCGATAGTAAAGTCGATTCAGTGAGATCGATTGTGAGATCGATCGTGAGATCGCTCGTGTGATCCACAGTGATATCGATTGTGACATCGATAAAGAAATCGATAGAGAGGTGGGTACTGAGGTCGGTGGTAAAACCGATCGATAAGGAGATCTACCAAGAACCCGGGAACCCGGAAACCCGGGAACCCCGCCGCCCACAGAGATCGACCCGGAACCAGCAACCTAAAACCCCGGAACCCGGAACTGGGCACCCCGGGAACCCGGCCAATCGGCCAGAAACTTTCGCTAACTTGTCCAACATCCGCAAGGATCCCTTTTCAGTGCAAGCACTGATTGGGGAATGGGGCTGCCACCGAGCTTCCCTTGCGATCTGAAGGGCCACCTGGTCGCATTCCTTGAGGTTCGGAGAATGAAGGGCGGCTTCCTTGAAACCTGCGCTCCCGCCTGAGCTGTGGGCCCACGTGGCGCTCGTCTTCTTTGAGGCGGGGGTTGCGCTCCTCGACATCGGCAATGCATCGGCGATGCAATGCTACAGCGAAATCCGCGCCCGCTCTGGCCCTCCGAATCGGGGATCTTCCGACCTGGTCAAGCCTGACCCGGGTCAGACAAGCCTCGCAGGGTCCTGCAAGGTTCTGCAGGACCCTGCACCCAAACCTTGGTCAGTGCAGCCCTGGCTCCGCAGGAGCCTGCAAGATCCGGCGCCTTGGCTGACCAGCGTTTGCATTGACCCCCGTCTCTTGAGCCCCGACCGAAACCAATCTGGCTGGCCAGCCGACCGGCAGAGCTCGCGCCTGCGCCGAGGCGGCACGAGCCTGCCGCCGGCGCCCACCAGGAGCAGCAGAGAGGGCATCCTCACGAGCAGCGAGGAGTCCGCCCGTCACCAGCCCCAGGAGAAGGCGGGCCCTTGGGCGCCCTGCTACGACGAAGCCAGGACAAGGGCAAATTCGGGTGAGGACGAATCGAGAATTTCTGAGATCCGGAGGCTCTGGAGGATGTCTTGGGCGCCGCGGCCTTCTCAGAGCGTTCCAGAAAGCTCCAAGAGCGTTCCGGAACGCGTTCCCGATGTCTGGCGGGCCGGGCCCGCCGCATGGCCGGGCGGCTGGGCTAAGGTCGGCGGTTTTGGTCGCACGCTGGACACCCGTCCCTGGCGCGCGGAGCGCGCCAGGAACGGGGAAAAAAAGGGCGCTGCCCTCCGAGAAACGATGCTCATGCCGCTTTTTGCCATTCAAATTCAACCTCCCGGGAATTGCACTGGAAGCATCGGGTTCCGCGCCTCTGCGCGGAGGTTCTGGCACGCTCTGTAGCGATATGTCTTCCTCCTGCGCCACGCCCAGAAGACCCAAGGTCTTATGGGAAAACAGAGTCGGCGCTCGAAGTACGTCGAATCCGCAGAATCCGCAGGCAGGTCGGAAGGCCTCAAAATCAACGCCTGGAAGTCCGAGCCACAAAAACTGCACAAAGAAAAACAAGCAGCAGCCGGAAGTTGGAATCGAATCGAATCAAAGTCGAGATCGTCGAGGTCGCATCGATTCGGATCGACAGAGTCGACACGGCTCCTGGCGGTTGACCCATAGGACAAGGGCCGCTGGGCGAGCGCGAGCGCCCTCCGCTGGCGGGTTGGGCGCCCACGCCGGCCCCAAGTTCCGGCCATGCTGCCGTGGGCTCTAACGCTACGGGGGGAGAAAGAGGAGAAGGATTGGAGGCGGCCACGGGGTCTGAGTTGGATGGGCCGCGAGAAGATCGGTCCAGAGGGAAGGTGCGGCCAAATCCGCACACAATCGGTCCCCGGACCCCTTCCTACCATCTGATCAATTTGTATCCCGGGTCAATGGTTGGCGGTCCGGGGACCCGAAAACGGCCCCCAGGAACAAAAAAAGCAAAGCCCCTTCCCGAGCCCAGAACTGCCAACCTCGCCCCCTCTTCCTGCTCGCCAGAACCAATGCTGGGCCACTTCAGACCCCCAACTGGCTCCAAGAGGAGGAGGACGACGACGACGAGGAGGAGCAAGATGTAGCAGCATCCGGCAGGACACCCATGCCAGTGGCGCCGAGCGCGCCGAGGAGGAAGAAGAAGAAGAGGAAGAGGAGGAGCAGGAGGCAAATCGAGTCGAAATGGATCCTGCGCACGCCTGGCTGGCCCTCCCCGGTGGCCTCGTCGTCGGGCCGCCCGGGGGCGAGGAGCAGGGCGCGCCAGATGCGCGCCCGCAGGTCCTCGACGGCGGGGGGTCGCCGCCGCCGACGCCGCAGCCGCCGCCGCCGCCGCCGCCGCCGACGACGACGACGCCGACGACGACGACGACGACGACGACCGCCGACGCCGACGACGACGCCGACGACGACGAAGCCGACGCCGGCGCCGACGCCGACGCCGACGACGACGAAGCCGACGCCGGCGCCGACGCCGACGCCGACGCCGACGACGACGACGACGACGGCCGTCGACAGTGACGCCGACGACGACGCCGACGCCGTCGACGCCGACGCCGACGCCGACGAAGCCGACGAATCCGACGCCGACGACAACGACGACGACGACGACGACAGCGGCAGCGACGACCGACGACCGACGAAGACCAACGAGGCTTGCCTGGGTCCTCAATGGCGCGGGGGCGGGACGACCGACGACCACGACGACGACGACGATAGCCGACGACCGCCGACCAACGATTGACAACGACGACGACGACTGGGGATGACGACGACGACGACGACGACGACGACGGCAACAGCCGACGACGACGATCGACAACGACGACCGCCGACCACGACGTCAACGACCGACCACGACAACGACGACGACGACGACGATGACCACCGACCGACGACAACGACGGGCGACGACGACGACCAACGACGACGACGACGACGACGACGACGTCTGACGACGACGACAACGACGACGACGACGACCAACGACGACGACGACGACGTCTGACGACGACGACAACGACGACGACGACGACGACGACGACGACGACGACCGACGACCGACGACCGACGACCGACGACGGACGACCGACGACGACGGCGACGACCGACGACGACGACGACGCCGCCGACGCCGACGACGACGACGACGACTAGGGACGACGACGACCAGCGACGAAGACGACGTCGATAACGGGACTGACGACCGACGCACGACGCTCGACGACGACGAAAAACCAACGAGGCCTTCTTGGGTCCACGACGTCGCGGGGGGGGGACGACCTACAGTCGGACTCGATTGGACAGGACACGCGAGAGGACACAAGACCCTTCCGAGGGCCACATTGCCGCAGGAATGTAGGAAGCATGGGTCGCGAGACACAGGACACAAGGGTACCCTTGATTTGGCAGGGTCGCCCTACTAATCTAGGCCGACTGTACGAGCGATGACCACGACGACGACACCGACGACCGACGCTCGACAACGACGACGACGACAACGAAGACGACGACGACGCCGACGACGACCGACGACCGCTGACCGACAACGAAAAGCGCCGACAACGACGACGGGGACGTTTACGAAGGCGACGACAACCGACCGACGACAACGACTGGCGACGACGAAGATCGTCGAGAACGACGACGACGATGACGACGACGACGACGACGGACGACCGACGACGATGGCGACGACCGATGACGGCGACGACGACGACGACCAGGGACGACGACGACCACGACTGCGGTAGCGACGACCGACGACCGACGCCCCACGACCGACGCCCGGCGAAGGCGAACACCAAGGACGCTTGCCTGGGTCCTCAACTACGCGGGGGCGCGACGACCGACGACCGACGGCCACGATGACGACACCGACGACCGACGACAGACGACGACGACGACGACGCCGATTACGACGACTACCGACGAGAGACAACGACAACGGCCGACCACGACCATGACGCCATCATCAACGACGACGAAGACGACGACGACGACCGACGACCGACGTCGCCGACCACGACGACGACCACGGCGGCGGCGGCGGCCACGACGACAACCGACGAACGACGACGGTGACGACGACGACGACGACGACGACGGACGACGACGACGACGACGGCGACGATGACGAAGGCGACGGCGATGGCGACGGCGGCGGCGGCGATGACTGACTACCTACCAGATCACCCCAACCCAACCCGAAGACCCGAATTTGACCTCAATTTCGGGTTGGGGGGTACGGATTCTTGGTGTTTTTCAACGTTCCCCGACCCCCCCCCCACCGGAAATGGAGGGCAAATCGAGGGCTTCGGGTTGGGTCGGGGTGGTTTGGTGGGTGGTGAATGACCACGACGACGACAACAACGACAACGACGACGACGGCGCGACGACGACGACGGCGACGATCGACGACAACAACGACCGACGAGGCTTCCATGGGTCCTCAATGGCGCAGGGGCGGGACGACCGACGACCGACGACAGACGACGACGACGACAACGACCGACGACGGCGACGGCGGCGACGGCGACGACGACGACGACGACGGCGACGACCACGACGATGATGACCGACCGACGACAACGACCAGCGACGCAGAAGAAGGTCGTCGAGGACGACGACGACGACGATGACGACCGCCGACCGACGATCGACAACGACGACGACGGCGGAGGCGACGACTACTACGACGACGACAACCGGTGACCAGCGACCCACGACGACGACAGACGAGGCTTGCCTGGGTGCAAGGTGGTCGCCGCTGTGCGACGCCGTATGTGGAGACAGTGTGCTCACATGCGACCGCAGTACGATTTTAAACATCTGGTCGCCTGTGCCATTGAACGTCTGCTGCAAGTAAGTGGAAACGTTCTTGGGAAACGTTCCTGCACTCTCGGCCCCCTTGCCCCCTCGACGGCCGCCCTCATTGAATCCCACCAGCCCTTTGGGGTGGTTTAGAGAGCCCTCTCTGTCCTCAACCCCCCATCTTCCCCTTCGGGGAGGGGTTTACCCCTCCCCCTACCCCCTCCCCCTGGACCTGGACAGGGAGTCCAGGGTGGGGTCATGGGGGCCTTTTTCGACTCCTGGGAGGGCCAAAAAACGACGACCCTCATGAGGATTCTGGCCCCGAGGGGGGGAGGGAGTTTGGCCCCTCTGCTCGTCTTTGAAGCAGAAATCATTGATTTTACTACGGTGTTGGCCCCATTTTGGCGTCCTGAGGGGGCCGCGCTCATCTTCCCTCATAGCAAAATCATTGATTTTACAAAGGTTTTGGGCTCAATTTGTTCCTTTCAGGCCAAGAGGCTCCAAGACGCCCCCAAGAGGCCCCACGAGGAGCCCGAACGACTCACACCAGGACGAGGGGCCCGAACGACTCACATCACGAAGAGCCCGAACGACTCACACCACAAGGAGGGGCCCGAACGACTCACACCAGGACGTGGCGCCCGAACGACTCACACCACGAGGAGCCCGAACGACTCACACCACGACGCGGGCCCCGAACGACTCACACCACGAGGAGCCCGAACGAGTCACACCAGGAGGAGGGGCCCGAACGACTCACACCAGGATGAGGGGCCCGAACAACTCACACCACGAGAAGCCCGAACGACTCACACCAGGACGAAAAGCCCGAACGACTCACACCACGAAGAGCCCGAACGACTCACACCAGGAAGAAGGGCCCGAACGACTCACACCAGGACGAGAAACCCCAAACGACTCAAATCACGAGGAGCGCTTTCTCTCCCTCCTCCTCCGCCTCGTCCTTCTCCCGCTCCCCCCACAAGGAGGATAGACAAGGAGGCGGGAGGAAGGAGGAACAGGGGAGATATGCGGGCCCAAGCTGACACACGCCTGAAAAACACGACTGTCGGCATGCTTCGCGAGAGTTGCTGCTGTGAGATGGGCTGGTGGGGATACGCGAAGCGTAAAGAATTCCTTGGGCGATCCCCCGAAGTTGCTGGAAGTACCAAGCTTGGATTTGCGCAGCCGATCCTGCCGCTTGCATCCAGAGCAGGAATTGTTGTTGGCGGGGGCAGGTCATCCCGCTCCCATAACGAGACCACAGACGAGAATTGGACGCCATCGAATCACAACTACTTGCAACACGAGCTGGGTGAAACGCCCCAAGCAACACACGTGCAAGCACAGAAGTCGGGCTCTCTCCTGCAAAATGTGCTCGACCCCAAGCTGCTGGAGGGAAGAGAGGGAGGTGGTGGTGGCAGGACCAGGGGGACCAGGCCAAGCATGGGCACGATGAGCAATCACCTCGGAAGGGGCACTCCGCTCTTGGGCGGGAGACCCTCAGCAAGCCTCTTCAGAGCCTCGATCCCAGTCCTTCTTGGATGAGGTGGGCACACTTCTCTCAAATTCAATGCATTCACGGTACCATTAAACCTACAACGCTCATAGAACAGGACACCACGGTACACACCAGGCTGATGCGAAGCGCGTGCCCTGGGATACAAGGGGTGCCCGGGAGGGGCCCCTTTGGTTTCACACACGCGTACCACAAGAGGGCCCAGCGAGAAACCGCCTTAAGAGACCCCTCAGGGGGAAACGCCGATCACAAATCTGAAGGGGCCCTGGGACACACAAATAGATACACACACAAATAAAAAGATTCCCCAACTTTTCCCATATTTTCTTGGTTTTGTCTTGCCCCCCACTTCCCATAGTTTCACATCTGTTCTGGGGAATCGATGATGAATTGTGTCGGTGTGATTTTCCCTCCTGATAATATCACACTTGAGAGTGCCCCCCCTTTTCATTGCAAGAAGGGCCAGCTGCACGGAGGCGCTCCCGGCGGCTACAAACATGATGGACCCACGAACCCGGAAAGGGATATAGAACCGCATGCATGGAAACGTTTTCACGACACCGTATTGGGCGACGGGCACTTCCACGAGACATCCCGCGAAACATTCCACGAGACACGGGCGACCGTTTTCAACGTTTTCCTGGAAACATTCCACGAGACACCCCGCGAAACAGTCCACGAGACACCCCACGAAACATTCCACGACGACAGGCAACCACTTTACCAAGGCGGTGTGGTCGTGCTGGGGAGTGGTCGTGCTGGGGTGTGGTCGTGCTGGGGGGTGGTCGTGCTGGGGGGGTAGTCGTGCTGGGGGGTGGTCGTGCTGGGGCGTGGTCGTGCTGGGGCGTGGTCGTGCTGGGGCGTGGTCGTGCTGGGGTGTGGTCGTGCTGTGGTGAGGTCGTGCTGGGGTGTGGTCGTGCTGGGTGATGGTCTTGCTGGGGTGGGGTCGTGC